ACGGTATTGAGCAGTTGGACCGGGAGGAATGGCTCGTACCATCAACTGGTCACTGTAGTACCTCTGACCGGGGGGTCCTAAGATTCGCGTCACGACGGTGGAATAATTTTCGACACTAGCTAGGCAGCTGAGTCTAATTCAGCCTCTGTCTGGAGGTAAATTCTTCCGGCTGGCTGCTCTGATTGGTAGTTTTCCGTGGTTTCTCCGATCAATACCAGGCGAATGCCGGAGCAATACCCTAACAAATGGGTAATTGACAGCGCGTGATATCTTTCTTGCCCTACTCTCCCCCTTACTGTAACTCACACATACACACTTCAATGCACTACACTATCGCACATGCCGGGAGACCGGTCGGGAGCATAGAACTCGTCCCGGCTTGGGCAGTGCCCCGCTAGTGGGAGATACCGATTGTGGAAAAGCCTGCTAGTCGATTGGTAGGTCGGTGCCGCATCTCACCTTCTCGTAGGCGAAGATTACTGCCACATCTCGGGAGGAATAGCATGCACTACACTAACGGGAATAATTATCTTGGCCGTTGACGCGCCCGGAAACACTCATCAGATCTTGAGTGGAACAGGTAATAAATCGAAATGAAAAAATAATTTGGAGGTAAACACCTCGAGGCACATGAATTAATTAGGTGTTGTATGCAAAATGATACATTTTTCTTGTTTTTTAGACTGCATGTTTGGTGGATTCCAATTCATTATTCACAGGATGCATGGTGGCAAAACAAGAGGTGAAAATGGCAGTAGGGCGTTTAATAAAACAATAGGTGGCCCATTTTGGGCGTGCGAGCGCCGCGCGCGAGCCTCCCCCGTTTGTGGGGCGTGGGGGGTGGGGCGTCTGCGGGGCGCAGGCGGCCTCAAAGGCGCCTAATTGCGGCGCTGAATGCAGCGGCGACGGCGCCAAGGAGGTCACACCGGAGACGCACCCACCCACAGCTCCAGATTCACGTCACGGCTATCGCGCTGTATTTATTTCCTTATTCATTTGTTTGTTTCGACGTAATCACCGCGACTTTCGAACTTGATGCCCCTAGAAGTCTGCTGTGGGAAAAATCACGGGATAGCGACCTTTGGGGCTACTCCCAACTGCCATAGATGACGCCCGAGGTGAGCCGTCGTTCTACCCCGCCCTGCACCGTCCCGCCTTACTTTGCGCTGCCTAGCCCTACCGGGCCTTGCTCTGCTGTGCCGTGCCTAACCCCGCTCTGCCCTGCTCTGTCCTGCCGAGCCCTGCCTTGCTCTGCTGAGCTCTGCCCTGCCGCGGCCTTCCGCGCCCTACCGCGCCCTACTGAGCCCTACCGTGCCCTATCGTGCCCTACCGTGCCCTACAATGCCCTGCCATCCCATTCCCTTCTATCCCGTGCCCTGCCGTGCTCTGCCATGCTCTGTCATGCTCTGCCTTGCCCTGCCTTACTCCGACATGCTCTGTCCGGTCGATCTCAGCTATACCCTGTCCTACTTTGCCGTGCCCGGATCTGCCCTGCCCTTTCCTACCATGCCCTGCTTTGCCCTGCCGTGCTGTTCACTACTCTGACCCGCCGTGCTCTACCCTACTCTGCCGTGTTATGTCCTTTCGTGCCCTGCCATGCTCTGTCGAGCTCTGCTGTGCCCTGCTGTGCCCTGCTGTGCCCTGCTGTGCCCTGCTGTGCCCTGCCACACCCTATCGTGCCCTGTCACACCCTGCCTTGCCCTGCTACTCTGCGTGCCCTGCCGTACCTTGCCGTACCCTGCCGCGCCCTGCCATGCCTTGTCGAGCTCTGCTGTGTTCTGCCGTGCCCTGCTGTGCCCTGCCACACCCTATCGTGCCCTGCCACACCCTGCCTTGCCCTGCTACTCTGCGTGCCCTGCCGTACCTTGCCGTACCCTGCCGCGCCCTGCTATGCCTTGTCGTGCTCTGCCGAGCTTTGCCGTGCCCTGCCACACCCTGCCGTGCCCTGCCCTGCCATGCCCCGCTGTGCTCTGCCCTGCCCCGGCGCGCCCTGGCGTCGCCTCGCCTCTCCTGCGCCGCCTGCTCCGCTCCGCTCCGCTCCGCTCAGCGCCGCCTTGATTTATAAGCGGCTGCGCGGCGTCCCGTTTCCGGAAGCGGCAGCGGCGACGAGGGCGACGAGGGCGACCCCAAAACGCCCCGGCGCATATTCTGCGCACCCTCGCACCCTTAATGGATGTGTCCACCCAACGGCACGATGGAGGAGATTCATTACTTCATTGCAACCACACTTCACGACTATTATTACTACTACATGCTTGCCCATCAACAGACATTAATTGTGTGCTATATTCTGAATATATTATTTTATTGATTTAAATTATTTTAACATTTACGATTTAAAAGTACAACATTTCAGTGCTTCCTCTATTTCATCAAATGTCACACGCGTCATATTCTTGGACATGAACGTTAAACAAGTATAATGAATGCTTAATTAACTGTTCTTTGTAAAATAATAATTGTTTTAGATATATTATTTCATTTTATATGAATTAAATATTGTATCGGCAAATGTATCGGAGAAACAGACTACAAAGACGATGATGAAAAAAATGGCCAAATCTAACCAACTTCCTTCTTTCCTTAAGGAAGCAGCAGATCAACCGCTCTCTATGATTAAATTTTGAGAAATTAACCACATGTGATACTAGTTAATAGCTGAATTAACTTGAAATTTTTTTCATCGAGGGTTAGTGTTCATTTCCATAATGTGAGTTAGTGTAACCATTAAGTAATGATCATTCACTAAAGAAGTAACGATCGTGTGTATATATACACACATATGTGTATATACATATATACACATATATACACATATATACACATATATACACGTATATACACATATATACACATATATACACATATATACACATATATACACATATATACACATATATACACACACGTAATCTACCCTTGTTGCAACCAACTTTGAAAGAAACAGTGAAGAGGATAGAGCGTCGAACCAGCTTAGCGCATTTATGACACCAAAAATCAAAATTAGACCTCTTTAAAAGTACCATTCAGTTCAGGTATCGGATTGAAAAAGTTCAAAAGGAATTGGACTGGGGGCTGTTATTCAGGGCGATAGCGCTCTAATATCCTTAAATACTAGGCATACTAGCGGGCTACGTTCAGAAGCGCATCCATGTTCCCTCTTCTCCCTTTACACACACACACACACACACACACATACAGACTTGTATGCTCTACACTACTACACATGTCGGGAGCTTAGTTGTGTCCGAGCTGGGGCGGTTCCCTGCTGGAAGATACCTAAAGGAGTGAATCCTCTGGAAGCTGCCGGGAGGTCGGCTCCGGATCACATTGTCAGCATGGGAGGAACACCGCCACTCCCTGGGTATATAATGCTCTTCACTTACGAGACTAATGACTAAAATCGTCCGATGAATTCTTGCGCAGTGTTGGAAGATTGTATGAGTTTATCAGAATAAGTGTTACAAACTTCTAAGCCATGTAAAAGGGTCGAAAATGATAACTTTTCGCCATTGAGCATCTAGTGGGCATTTCATATAAAAGAGTTACACGTGTGAAATTTGCCCCTGATTTTAGGCAACTTCTCATGCGCATGTGTTCTGTAGGTGATTCTGATGCAATCAGGGAGATTTCATGTATCTGACGAACACCTATGCGCTGAAGTTGGCATGGTGTGGCAGATATGACACTTGACATGGGGCCACTCTTAAGGATCGCTAGTTATCTTTCGATATTTATGAAAAAATAAATGAAATATAATTGAATTATGAAATTATTTTATTTCAGCTTTTGTGTAAAATTTAATCAATCAATTATTTTCTTGATAAATTGTTTATTACATTTTTTGAAAGCAATTAGAATCATTTTCACGCTAGTGTATACCCGCTAAAACAAACAAAAATCCGAATTTAAAGTATCCTGACAGGGGCGCAAATTCTGTTTGACATGTATTCCTGAATACCTGGATACGTCTTTGCTGGTGTTCGCTTTAGGTGACCCAAGAAAACTCAGAAGCGTGAACGCGGCAGCGCATCCTGTACCGATGCACGTCTCTCGAGCACAAAGGAGAATGCTACAATGTATAGACATGTAGAGGGATCGAAGGTCGAAGATGATCACTTTTTCAGAAATCTCCTCAACTACATCAGTACGTAAACATTCGGTGCAGAAGAAGCAAACATGTGCGAAACGTATGTATAAAATTTTCCATCATATGCTCATTGGCAAGAAGTGATTATCTTCAACCCCTGTGCGTGCATAAATATATAAATAATTTTAAAGATTGTGTTCTTTTAAAAATCTTGCACGAGGAGTTTAACTCTAGATCAGGGGTGACCAACGTGGTCGGTATAGATCCCCTGGGGGTCGTGAAAGTTTGAAGGGAGTCGGTGATGATGGGAAGCGGTCGAGCAGGGGTCAATAGCCGAATATGAACCGGCTTCTGTCGGTATAATGAAAATTTCATTGGTTACAAAAAATTGTTAAATTAATAAAATATTTTCTGATATAAAGCGAAACACAATAATAAATTAGAAATTGTCGTATGTTTGTATCCGTCGTTCATCCACAGAAGTTGGGATGTTCAGAAAACTCAAGAAATTATAATTTTTCAATCACAATAATACTCTATTGCACAAGAAGTACTCTCTGTAATACGCACTGGAGAAATGTTATGGTCAGTTCTAAAAAAACTTTTTGCAACCATTGTATACAAATATTCGAAAGTCAACTACTGATAAGTGGAAGCGTTTGGATAATTGAAAATACTAGAAAAATTTACGAGAATATTGGTGTGCATTGGAAATTGTTATCTTTAAAGCATTTATGTGAAATTCTTTGTGTCATGATTATGGAGGCTGCATATTATAGAGAAAACGTAAGGGGGTCGATGAAGCAAACAATCATTCTCTTCAAACGGGTCGATGAAAGAAAGATGTTGGGAATCCCTACCCTAGAGGCTGAATGGATGTCTCATCTCAACATCTCTCCGTTGGTTGCAGCGGACGCGGAGGACAGCCGCTTCTGGGACCACATCTTCAAGAAGCGACCGACGGCGGACTTCGACGAGGAGCCCGGACTCTGCGGTAAGGCTCTGCCTTCAGGCCGCTTTCAAAGCGCAAATACGTATTTCTCAAATATCTTCCTCCGCTATTTTCGCAGCTTGAACATTACGAACACGCAAAGAACACTTTTTCAAACTATTTCCATTTTTTTTCTGACACGTTCGAAAATAGCAGAAAAATAGTTTCAAAATATACAAAATTTTATTTTCTTCGAATATATCGAAGTTCAAACTATTTCCATTTTTTTTCTGACACGTTCGAAAATAGCAGAAAAATAGTTCCAAAATATACAAAATTTTATTTTCTTCGAATATATCGAAGTTCACTACTTTTTACACTGCTTACAAAAGTTTTTTGCTGTTCTTTCTAATTTAATGGAAACTTTTTACGTCAATAACCCACTGATACGGTGGAAAAGTTCGACGGCGGACTTCGACGAGGAGTCCGGACTCTGCGGTAAGACTTTGCATTCAGGCCGCTTTCAAAGAGCAAATACGTATTTCTCAAATATTTCCTCCGCTATTTTTGCAGCTTGAACATTACGAACACGCAAAGAACACTTTTTCAAACTATTTCCATTTTGTTTGTTTTTTCTGAAACGTTCGAAAATGGCACAAAAATATATAACATTTTATTTTCTTCGAATATATCGAAGTTCACTACTTTTTTCACTGCTTAAAAAAAGTTTTTTGCTGTTCTTTCTAATTTAATGGAAACTTTTTACGTCAATAACCCACTGATACGGTGGAAAAGTTTCTGGAAAGATATCTGCAAAGAATTATAGGTTCGTAGTGAAAGAAACTGTTGGTTCAAATTGGTAGAAGAAAATCTTCACTAAAGAAGTGCTTTCGCGACTGTTGGATGGAGTGAAGGATGTTAGCAAATTTGAATTCGCAAGTGTAGTCACGGTCTGCAAGCAATCTAGGATGTAGGATAATTATAGTCATAAAGCAATTTCGACGCAGTCCCGGACCCGAGGTATACTGCGCTGCAGAATTGCGTGGTACGAATATCGTCTTGCCATTACCATTAGCTTCGTTTCAAAGTTCCAACGCGTGAGTTTGAGCCATAATTAAAACAGACAGCAGTAGTTAGACATTAGGATATAGTTTGCTACGTTCTAGAAAAATATCTCAAAATACAAGAAATGAACTGATATGTAGTTTACAACAGTAAAATTTATTTAGAATATTCCACGATTCTACAAACTCCCACATTTCACATCCAAAGGATTCCTTACATTGAAATTGTAAAGCTTATTTTTGGTAAATTCCATCATCAGTGACGAAGAATTTTGTGAAAACAGCAAATACATTCCTTCCTACGTTTGCAATTTGCTTCCGTGCTCTGCGAACGATGTGGGGGTTCATTGATGTCGCAAGTAAAAAATTCTAGTTACATCCATTAAAATAATTCAATTTTTTTGTCATGCTTTTTGTCTCTCTCGACATAACTGATAATTAGGAGTAAATATTGAGAGCTTGAAAATTTTGAATATAAGACATTACTCTCGCTCGTATTTAACGAATGTAAAGCATTACTGCTACTTTAAAGAACTTTATACCGTGCAGTTATTGCGGGTAGTCAGAGGTGTAGATTCTCGCCTGCCATAAGAACAAATTTAATAGCTGTCGGTGCAATACAATCGACACAATAATCTCTGTGCTCTAAGGATGTTAAAATACGTCGTTGCATGGTCATAACTTTTATAAAACAGGTTTAATGCATCTCTTAATCGAAACTAGTCTTCTGTACAGTCGATTTTTTAGTCAAACTGTGTTGTCCTCCACCCCTCCACACCTTTCGTGTACAAAGATGTATTTGATCACATTCCCCGAATATTATTTGTAATTACGTCTTTTCTTATTGTTGTTTCGTCTGATATGTCTAAAGTACTATAATAGATAAGTTTACACAAATTGGAATATTTCTGATATTCGTTCGTCTACCACCAGAAACAACCCCGTTATGTTACCATTACGATACCATCCATTTCAAACAGAGCTACTAACGTTTATCGGAGCATTTTTTTTTCATCCTTGTTGCTAACGCCAAATCATAAAAACAATCTCGAGTCGTTATAGCGAAAATAAATACATTCATTGAGTACATGTTGATTAATATTTTATAATGTAAAATAAAAAAATGAATGTGGGACCGTCGTAGATAAAATATTGAATGAAACATATATGACATAACATAATGAAACTCGTATCGGTTTTGCATCAGTTGGCTGACGCCTAGTGATTGCGAAACCGACATTCGTTTCAATGTAAAGCCCTTATCATCTTGTTTCATTCATGATAAAACTTCGGATTTTACCATGTCGAAACTGGCTTTCCTTCCTCATCCATGTTCCCTCTTCTCCCTTTACACACACACACACACACACACACATATATATATATATATATATATATATATATATATATATATATATATATATAAAAATTTGTATGCTCTACACTTACTCACATGTCGAGAGCTTAGTTGTGTCCAAGTTGGGGCGGCGCTCTGCTGACAGATTCCTAAAGGAATGAATCCTCCGGAAGCTGCCGGGTAAGTCGGCTCCGGATCACATTGTCAGCGTGGGAGGAACACCGCCACTGGGTATATAATGCACTACACTTACGAGACTAATGACTAAAGTCGCGTTCGGAAACGATGAATTCTTGCAGTGTTGGAGGAAGATTGTATGTGTTTATCAGAATAAGTGTTACAAACGTCTAACCCATGTAAAACGGTCGAAAATGACGGCGATGACTCAGAGTGTCGCCAATGAGCATGCACCAATTCGAACCTTTCGACAATGAGCATCTAGAGGGTATAAAAGAGTTAAACATGTGATATTTGCCCCTGATTTTAGGCAACTTTTCAAGCACACGAGTTCGGTGGGTGACGTTCTGATACAATCAAGGAGACTTCATGTACCTGACGAACACCTGTGCGCTGAAGTTCGCTAACAAAAAGATGCAAATGCCACACGTGTATAAAGATGGCAAATATTAGCAAAACACCGACACTCTGAGTCACCGCCAAAACGTTTTCGATGTCGATGAAAGCATCGACCAAAAACATCGATGTTTAAAATATCGATGAGGAAATGTCGTTCACGGAATTTGATCGTATTTAGTAAAATATCGATGTTGTAAATATGAAGAAACGTGTTGAAGTTAAAGGTCATGTCTCTAATGTGTTACATAATACGTCAGTATTAGCTTAAAGTTTATTTTGCCTTAAATTTGTTTATCATCTTCATTTTGTGATGAAGATTGTATGCAGTCAACGTACAAAATGCAGTTTAACCATATTACCTCGTACAAAATAATCCAAAATTATAATATCACTGTTGAAAGCTTGCGAATAGTAAACGGTTAGGTGCCGCCTGGGGATGAACAACAGTGACAGTTATCAATTGCTGTTAATTGCGAGCGTCCACAAAAAATTAAAAACTGAAAATTGAATTTCTATCATGAGAATTTCTTTTTTGGAAAAATCTAAGTTTTTGGACAAATATATCGAACTGACGAAAACATGAAAAGCAAAATCGACGTTATAATATCCATGTTTTTACTCTAAAAGATATGTTTTGAAAACATCGATATTTTTATTTTTTTATTTTTTTCTTCTTGCAATCCCTACGCGTGTTCGTACGTGTGTCTGCGCGTGTTGCAGAGCTGGAGCGCGCGCCGGCCGAGTGCGTGTGCCGCGCGAGGGCGCTGCTGTGCGAGCACGCCGGCCTCCACGCGCCGCCCCGCGGCCTCCCGCAGCGCGGCCTGCGCACCCTGTCAGTGCCCACCGCCCACCGCCCACCCGCGGGCGACAACGCGGGCCGCGCCCCAGTCATTCCACCGATCTCGCTATGCAATTACACAGTGCGACTATTTTATGAGTGAGCCGCGACGTGTGAGATTCTGCTCGGCTGACGGGCCCTCGCTCGCCCGGGAACTGTGCGCTCAACTCCCCTGGTTGCGGACGAGCGGGTTTGAATGTCTCGCCCTGCGAAAGGCATGCTTTCCGGTCTTGTTGAATAGTCCGTTTGTTATAGCTCGCACTTCAGTCCCAAACAGAAAGTGTTTGAGTATGACACGTACGTAAAATGTCTCAATTAATTATGTGCATCGAATCATGGAGCCTTTCTTCCAATTGTTGACAAATAAACAGCGTAATTCCATGCTCAGAACTCTGCACCCGCGCACATTACTTAAGTTTTGTGATGCTGTTTATGGAGACAAAATTATCACAGTGATTTGAGGCCTGCACGCTCTCCTGATCTGCCGCCGTGAGATTTTTTTGTGTGGGGATTCCTAAACGTTCTCGTCTGTGCAACAAATCTCTCAACGGAAGAAGAATTAAGGCATAATATACTGGAACGTACCTCTCCAATACCCCAGGCCATCATTTACTGAGTGAACTATAAATTGTTTAGATGTTGAGAATCATTGTGTGCATCAGAGCAGCTGTGTGCGCTTTCAACATCTACTATAACGAGTATACAATTTAAACTTTTCGGTAGCGAAAAGCCACCTTCCCTTTTCGGGGAATCTACCGACCACCCTGTCTCGGTTTCGTCAGCATCCATGGCCTCAAAGCCAAATCACCGCGCGAGCAGCACTTTTATAAAATGGTCGCACTGTATTATTAACACTTTGTGCCCCAGGCGCTTGCTGATCGGTTGGGTCCCAAAACCCAGGGTATTTAAGGGCATTTTAAGTGGCATCACATTTTGTTGAAACAAGAGCATAGAACCTTGCTATATTTAGAAAGTTATTTTTGTTAATTATAGTGTAAATTTTTGACTTTATTGACATTCTTAACATTTTGACGTATATTACAAAACTGTAACTTAAAAACTCTATACAACAATATGTATCTTTTCAGGCATAGTTAGCCTTTGTGTGGTATAATTTGAAGCACTCTGGCATACTGAGGGAAATAAGAATTTTCACTAATTTCATTCAAAGTTGTAATAATATCCGAATAATTATCCAACAATTCATAATTTCGTTGCATGCTCAATGTTCTAAACGCAAAACAAAACATACCCCTCTGTACGGAACTCCGTCCACCATTACGAACTACTACAAAAAGCAAGGGACGTTACCGGTTCGCATTTTTCAAAATAGTTCTCACAGTCGCCAGCAATGGCAGAACATGACAGTCACAGCAAAGGTGATCTCATTGCCCTGATCAGACATACACTCGGGCATCTGCGCAGAAAGCCGAGGTAGCGTGTGCACGAGCTCTGCTTGGAACCCTCGAGCATTAAGCTAAGCCTAAATAGAGGTCAGGCTTGGGCTTCAATGTGTTAAATAATTATAATTACTATTGTATGTACCACCAACATCATTCTACTTCGTGGCAATGTAGAGTTAGTAGTACACACTGTCGCCACAGTGCCAAAGAAATCCCATCGTACGCTTAGAACTTGTCTTTTGCTTTTGTAATTAAAAAAATATTATAAACATTTTGAGGTTTTACAAAGTATAGTTCACACTCGGCATTTATATACGTCGTTTAATATAAACTTAGTGCTTGTTACTGAATTTTAAAATTATATTTTGGGGAGAGGAATTCTTTACAGGGTGACCGCAGGGGAGTTACATTTCGGATCACTGTAGTAGGAAGGTATAGAAGGGAAATTTATTTTTATTGCGGGTATTAAGAGTGAAATTTTTTGCCTAAGCGGAGGGGACATTCTGGTGATTTGTGGTAATTTATGTTAAAGCTGTGTAGAGAGAGATATGTGATGTTCTTTTCTATTGTTTCGAATTGGAATTCATTGTGCAGCCCTCGTTTGGAAATAAACCATGATGCATTTGAAGTTGTACGAAGAAACTGACTTTGAACGATCTGTAGTATTTTTGTATTCAATTTTGCGTCATTGATCTCAACTTGTACCGTAGGTGACATAAGTAATTTAATTACACCGATAATTTTATTTGAGTATCGTGTTCAGAAATGAACCTCTCGCAACGTTGAAGTTCGAGCATGCGCAGTTTCGTATCGTATACGCTACTGTGCTTCATGCTGTGCAAATACTCTCTAAACATATGGCTTCAGAGACTTGATAAGACTGCATATCCTGAATTCTGTGTTGAAAAAAGCCTCCATTTGACTCAAGAAGTACAAGAAGTAGAATTATTCGAAAATATCGCGCTGTGAAGTTAATGGAATTTATTATTAAACGACTAAAATGTCAAATAGTTGTAAATATTATTTAAAATTTAAAAAATTGGAGTTTACATTTGTACTTATTTCTACTTCGTTGACGATGACGAGCTCTGTTCACTAATACTTTTTACCAACCTTCTATGTCCAGAGACCTGAGTGGGAATTTCATTCCGGAACTGAACGCGGAAATACTGCGGCCTGTACCTGACGTCAGCACCTTGTGAGTAAATGCTCTTGAAGCACTTCAAATGTAATATATTTTTATGCTTCAACTGTTTTACTATCGCTTGCTAAGCTTCCGCTACGGTCGAGCCAATATTAATTCATTTTCCAGCCCACAAAATTTGTCAGGTTTTATACTGAATTTGTAGAATGATGGCAGAAATAAATTAATGAATTTAATATTTCCAAAATAATGATGGACCAGACTGACGTTTGGACCTGAAGCCTATCCTACTCTATTCAGAAATACATAAGTAAGGAGTCTTTCAATTAACATTTATGACAAGCTGGGCAATTTGCCTTCGCTTCTTTAAATAATAAAACATAATTAAATTCTGCCAGCTATCGTTTCTTTCTCTCTGTCCTACTTATATAAGGAATACTGATATGTCTACATTTCAAATTGCCATTACAAGTGAAAAAGGTATATTAAATCTTCACACGGTGACAGTATCCACCCAAAAAGTACATACTCTGTCGCCTATTTACTTGACATTTATTTGTGCCGGCAGATAGAGGGCCTATTGTGACGAGTCTTCGGTCGCGCCAGAACGTATACGTTTCTACAGCCATATCATTTTGGCGGGTGTAACCAACCCTAAAGAAATAGACAGCGACTCTGGGAGCCGATGTTCGAAATAAGACCCACGTCCTATAGTAGAGAAGGTGGAAGTTATGAATAAAGGTGAATTTGGATGATATAACAGTGAGTTTATATTTCGTATCATTCAAGAAGCACGCCCTTCGCAGCCTACTCTTTTTCCTTGGCGAGTGTCGCACCTGGGTGGGGTGGGGGGTTGCTAAGTGGATTGGCCGTCCCACTCCACCACCCGCCCGTGCTCAGGTGCTGCAAGTCACACAAACATCGGAAAAAGTTATTTCACCGATGGAAGCATTTTACAACTCTCGATTGACATACGATAAAATTAATAAGCGTATTGACCTGGCCCTTCAAACGTTGGCTCTTTCTTAAACAAATTTGGATTTTCAATTTTCCTTGGCCTTCGACTTTTCGATTCTGTATAATCGAAATGTTTACTGTTATTAAACTCTAAAATTTTCAGTTTATTTTTGCAATTTTTTTAAATTTTTGCCGCATTTTTGCCGCACAAATATCTTGATCAAAATAAGCATTTCTCATTATCGTTACTCTTTTTCAATATGGATATTTGTAAAAATAATTGTCATAAAATCCATTTGATTTAGGACGTAAATAATTGATTGTGGCATTAAACTATATTTTTTATAAATTCTATTCTTTTTTCAAATGTACTAAAAATTAATAAAATCATCTACTAAGAACTTACACGTAGTATCCATCAGTTCATTTACGAACAGTCTTTAAAATTATATCATAAAACCTGTTGCGAATAATATATTTGACCATTCACAGCTAGTAACAATTTTCCCTCCACAGATTTAATAAAGTGCTTAATGGTTATTTATCACTGATGAATATTGAGTTACGCTTCCAAATGCATTTCAACAAATACGTTGTCGCCATGTTTTCCTCACATATTCAGTTCCACACGTACAAGGCGATCTGTTACGTGGTTATGTGCAGGCGCCGCCTTCCTCGCTCTGTGGACGACAAAAGAAGCGCGCGGCTCGCGTGTCACGTGTCACGTGCGAGAAGGAGGGGGGAGGGCGTTGGAAGCGCCCGCTCGCTTAGGCGGAGGGGGCTGTTGTTGCAGGGTGCTGTCGTTTGCCGGCGTGCGGCGCCTTCGGCCGGACGCCTTCGCCAACCGCCCGGCGCTGCGCAACCTGTGAGTCTCCCTCGGGGCGGTGGGCGATTTTTTTCGCACATTCTGAAACCCGAAGACGCCACCCTATACTTCGATTAAAACATAAAGTCTGTTGGCATTTGGTTTGCGGGAACGCTGTCATCCAAAGGGAAGCTTTTTTTATTTATTTATTTTTATTATTATTTAAGGTCGCATCAACTTCTAGGTCATTAACGACCACGATTGCTTGTAACGGTATGGTAACTGTGGGGATGACACGATGTAATGATGATAGGGGGTGAAAAGACGAACACAATACAACCATGCCCAAGGCGGGACTCGAACCCGCGATCCTTCTCGGCCCATCGGATCTCGGCCACCGGATCGGCCTATGGGAAGCTTGAACGTCACCATTGTCACTGTAATGACGTTCAAGCTCCCACTTGGATGACAGCGTCACAGCTCGTCAAGTGTTAACGGACTTAAGTATATGTATTCTTCCGCCAGCTCATGGTCTGCAGCGCCAGTTGTTAATCGCTATGTGGTAGCCGATTAGGGATAGACGTGGCTTCGGTGGTATGACTGTTGGCATATCGGGCTGACCCATACCCAAGTTTGCAGCTTTAAACGCGATTAAAGCCTTGGATCGGGGCCGTGAAAGGGCGAAAAAATCCTTTATAAAGCTGGCTTCCCCATGTAGTAGATTTATTTCATGGAAAAGTTCAAGTCTAAAAGAAGCCTCTGAGCTAAATTTAAACAGCCTGTTTCGTAGTCCAAATGATACTTTCTTTCTCCGCTGGATGGTGAGAGGAGCGTAGCGGAATTTGTGTGATCAGGTGAAAGAGCTGGCCTAATAGCCTGGGTCTCGCCACGTAAAACAAGGCATCATTGAATGGAAATCAATTGAACAGATTTCACGAGTCATGTACATTCATCCGATATCGTCACCGAAAAGAATATTGTAAGAATTGATTCACGTTATGGTGAAAATCAGAAGAGGATGTGGCAGAATTATGTCGTCAAATAAATTTTAACGGACAGGCCATAAATATAGAATTTCTGGGAAGTAATCGTGAATTATATCTAATTAATAATCACCTACCACGCTCTCAAATTTGGTTTTTCATATATAAGAGTCAAAAATCGCTCACATGACTAAACAGACAATACCTATATTACGTGTAACGTATTTGGTTAATACATAATCTTGTCAGTGTCCAGTGACCATGAGTTTTAAGATACGTTCTGCCTTAAAGTACCTATCTATAATGTAACACAGAATCCTTCGAATAGTTTGCACCAAAGCGATGTCTCTCTTGCACAGTTGCCTACAAATGAGATTATTTTGTGGAATATTTCACTATCTGAATATACTCTACAAAGTGTATTCATTTTAAATATATTCTACTGACATGCGCCTACAGTATATTGCAGTACACAATCAATACAACTAGTATAATACTCTCTATATTAATATACTGAGTTCCAATCAACTTCTGATTCTATAAATATTGCAGAGTATATGGATATACTTATTGTTAACATACATTTTTTTCGTTTTAAAGGCACGAATATTATTTGCCTAAGAGGCTAAACAATGACGCAAATTTTAACGTTCTAAATTGTTTGAAAGGCTCTAGATTAACTGTTAAGAAAAATATTTTATTTGTCGAGATTGCTATGGTCCTGGTTTACTGACAAAATGTTAAGCAAAGAACACTAGTTTCTGATAGAGAATTTCAATATTCAGTATACTGTTTCAGGCACCTGAACAACAACGGCCTCAAGGATCTACCAGACTTCGCGTTTCCCCCTGGAAATGGTTTGTACAGGCTGTGAGTACGCCGCCAGCGATAAGGGTTAAGTCCCACTTCTCCAATACCGAGATTTACAAACGACATGTGTATGGATGTAAATGACGTAAAAATAATTCTGGTTCATTACTTAAACTTGTCAATACTTGACTTGATTGTGTACAATGTCACAAAATGACCATGACCTTCAGTTAATATTTTATTTCAATGGCTTCATTCATTTTCAATTTCTCGTATTTACTTCATAAGAAGTGAAAGTTACGCTATCGTGCGCTGGAAAACGGCTATTTTTCAAAAGAATAACTCGGGTCGTGGTAGCGAAAATGTGGATAAATCCTATTGGTTCTTAAAGTAAATTTCTTCCTCTAACACGTGGTGAAGACAGATTTGATGAATTTTGTGGGTTCTTGACACCGAAAAATCGATTGACGTCAAAACATGTCTGTCCGTCCGTCCATCTGTGGTGAATGCTAGCGCTTAAACCGTTCAGTTGATTTTCTCCAAAATTGATATAACCCGATCGATCTAAAAGAACTCGAGGCTTTCGGAACTTCAAACGATCTTTTGATTTTTAGGGTACTTTAAATGAAGCTAGAAGACATTTTTTAATTGGAATCTCTGAATTTTAGAAAATACCAAATGTAGATTTGATGTAGTGTTGTGGTTTCACTAGTTTAAAAAGTGGTTCAGTTGTTGTGGTCGATGTGAGGTGACGTGTGATGTATTAATTTGTTTACATGAAGAAAGCTGGTCAACGGTCTTCAGCATTGTATCAAGTAAACACCGGATTTTTTCGCGCGAGTTGAAAGGGTACGTTGACCGACTATTACACCCAGCTGACAGTGCTATAAAAGTCGCCCAGTTTGACTGCTCCCAAGACACCTAGCGCTTTAAATCTGTGCCTCCTTCTCCAGAGCAGGAACAAGGGTTGGCGTTGGCAGTTGGTCATGGGCAGACCCAGAATCCAAGGTCCACCCTTCTTCGTAATCATGTAATTTTAATTTTATATTGTCCACAATGGTAAAGATTACCGAATTTGATCACTTTTACAGAAATATATTTTAGTGTCCCGGAATTGATTATTTCGTGGTTCCGGCCGCGTAAACGACTTGGCCATTAGTCCCAAAAATCTAGTGCATGTTATCCCAGGAGATGGAAGTGATCTTCCTCTGCTGGATGGTGAGATCCGGCCGCCGATCTACATACGTAGGCTTGGTTTTCACAAGGTATCTCCCACAACCGCCCCAGTCGGGACAAGCTCAAAGCTCCCGAACAGTCACCCGGCGTGTGTGATAGTGTAGTGTATGTAAGTGTGTGTGTATAAGTAAGAAGTGAGAATAAGACAAGGAAGAGGTAGGGAATATCGCGCGCTGTTCCTGGCCCATTTCTTAGGACACTGCTCCGGCATTCATCTAGTGTTAATCGGAGAAATCACAGAAAACCATCGATCAGAGACGGTGACCCTCGAATGCCACAAATCCAGAACATGTGACTTTCGTCTTTGCTCAGTGTCGGTTTACGACACTTTTCTCATCACTCTCGCCATGAATTGAACATGGGACCTTCGATCTGACTACTGTAATAATTGGCAAACAAGGAGGTTCAATTGGAAAATAGTAAACGACGTCGTAAATAACATTTCTCCGTTTGAACTTGTGCAGATATATTTTTCAATCGCTATCACCAAATTAATTATCCAGAAATTTGTATTATATTGCTCGACAAGTTTGAAACAGATGTGTGATATAAATTAGAGAAAATATGGTTCATTGTTTTGAGCATTACTTCACCATTTGAAGATCGAATCAGAAAGCGCACCTTCGCGATTATTCGATACGGAAGGGACGGTTGAGATACAATGCCGGGTGTTAAGCAATATTGCAGAATATGAAATGGACACGGATATTCTATTTTAATTCCCTTTTCAATCCAATATGATTGGAACCGACGGTAGTGATTAACAAAATAAGAAAAAGAACCAATAACATTTTGTGCACAATCTTGCAAATGTCGCGAAAGAAAACGGATGCAGTGGCTCCGTAATACAACTCATTGCCTATGCAAAGTCGCTTATTAGGAGGTACTAGGCAGTGTTGCCATATCGGCGGAATTCCTGCCTTTTTCAGCGGATTTTGAACTCGTACGGCGGAAAAAAAATAGTTTCGCGGACAGCGGAATAAACGGCGGAAATTAATTTAGTAAAGCAGTAAAATTAGTAAAGCATCAGTTTTCGTTAACCTTTATTAAAGTTAATTTGCACAGATGTTGTATATTTTTAAAATTTCTTAATCCATGTTACTAGCAAGAATAAATAATATAATACTTAGGTAATAAATAATATAATACCTTAAATCAATTGTTATTATTTTGCAAATTTTCACCCAAGTAATGCATTCTATATTATCTAAAAATTGAATTGCAGTTTCAATAAAGCCACTATATTTACCAATCATATTTTTGTTTTAATAGAAAAAAATAATACATTTAAATATGAAAAAATAATTTATTTTACGTTTAGCGGATTTAGGCGGGAAATTTAAAACCAGTTCAGCGGATTTTCGGCAGAAACTGAAACTAACGTGGCGGAATTTCTCTAAACACATCTGGCAACCCTGGCACTAGGTTTCGAATCCCGACGATGGCGTAGTTTCGACACACTGTACAGGTAGGTCGAATTTTGCCATTGTCAGAGACGAATTCCATCTGCCGGCTGCTCGGATCAGTAGGTTTTCGCATCGTTATCCTAACAAACGGCTCGCGGACCGCGAGCGATGTTTCTTTCCTCATCCCTGACCTATCCTCTCCCCTTACACACACTTACATTCCCATCATTACCAAACGCGTCGGGAGCTTAGAGCACTTGCTCCAGCGGAAAGCAGTTCCCTAGTGGGGAAGATACCTGAAGGGGAAAACCTCTTGCTACGTGTAGACCGGCACCGAATCGCGTGTTTCAGCGTGGGGAACACCGCCACCTCCTGAGATACCAATCACTTTACTTGCGCTCAGTGGTTGAGGCGCGTCCGCGTGCGTGTGCGCAGGGTGCTGGGCCACAACGCGCTGCGCCGCCTGCCGCCCGCCGCCTTCCGCTTCCTGCGGCCGCTGCGAGAGCTGTGAGTGCAGCGCCGTCACCTGGCCAAGAGCAACGTTGCTTTGTGAAGGGAACACGTTCCCAACTGTGATGGCAAACTGGGTGCTAAATTCCCATAATACCACACCCTCGTGATGCGTATTGACAGCAGTCCATAAACCACTGATAAATAATGTCCGCAGGGGAAACAAAGAAACTTTTAAAATAAATTCTTAATACAATTTTAAGCGTATTTTGTCGAATGGACTACGTCGATATTTCGAATGGCTGAGTCGTAATAAGCACTTTAAAGTTGGTTTGAAAAAATACTTTCAATGCAAACATTTGCATTTCAGAAACATATTAGCACTCCAGAAATATGTGCATTGTTTACTGTTTACAAAATAAATAAATATATTTCTTCACAAAAAAAGCAGAAACACAGAAATAAGAAAACAATTGAATTGTGCAAATTGGGTGCTTATTTATTTTTGTATCAATTAGGCCCCATAACGCACCCCATGCAATTTGATCGTTTTTTATTAATATTGTTATTACATTGGTAGGAATAATACAGTTAAATGGAAAATGATTAATGTTTGAGTTCATAAAAATTGGTCGAACTAAAAATCATGAAGTTGATAAGTGTTTCTTCTCTACTTTTTCTTTCCTTTTTTTCATATATCATTCCTGAGGTAACAGAACATCGTACCCTTCCTCAATCCAGCAATAGTATTATGCTACAGTCTTGGCACTAGATGGTTGCAAGTTTCTCATTTTGTTTTTAAGATCACATAGTTTTTGTTGGGGTAATAAATGAGCCATTGAGAGCAAAAGTGGAGAAAGTCAAAAAACATGTTTTCTGAAAAATGTGAAAACAAAAGACGCAAAATAAAAATCGAAGATTTATAAGTCTCTTTTAACAACCACTCATTAACACCAACCCCTTTAGCAATCATAGTGGTAATTTTTAATTTGTTTTGAATAATTTTATTTTTGGTATGTTCTGAGTGCTAACGTTTATAAACAGCTAAAGATATGATATCAAGTTTAGTCAATTAAAATTATTTTTAATCGTATTACGTCAGCTTTATTTTCTGAATTCCCGTACATCTATTTCAATTTTGTATCATAAAAAATGATCCTTGAACACACACAATACATCACAAGTAACGTATGGTCCATTGGAACTGAACTCATGGAAACAAACAAAACACTTCCACGACCATATGCAATATAGCATCACCATTTGCGGGAGATAGCAGTATTTTGGTATTAATAAAATCCTATTATGTTGCAGGGATTTGCGTCACAACAAACTCACTTCCCTCAGCCGAGAAGCTCTGGAGCCCCTGGAGTCGCTGACTGTGCTGTAAGTTCAGCTCTTGGTCGCAAGCGTTCCTTGGTCCTGTAAAAGATAAGTTGTCATTCAAATCCCCTAATTAAAAGTAGATAAGTGCATGAACGCATATACATGCATATAAATCAATAACTCATGAACACACTATACCTTACTTTTCGTGGTACCATGGTCTTGCAAATAAAATCATATAAATCAGAAATTCTATTTCTTAGAATGAGTGTTCTCATACGCCTTCTTTAGTTACAACTCGTTTGTTTCGATTGTTGTAAACAGATGGCGGTTTGTCAATCCTTAACGGATGCCGGTCGTTGAGAGATTCTTTTCATTCCTCCGTTTTTCTGTTTGTGAAGCCAATATAGCATTCCACTATTTCGTAAAATGTTTTAGACGTTTGGAAGTAAATGGTGGTATTCTAATATTTTTGTAAAATAATGGTATATGATGTTCGCTCGTAGGTTGTGCCTTGTGCCATTCGTCCCATTTCAACGTACCATTTCCACGTGTAATTTAAAATGTCATTTATCATTATTTTCACCCGAAGGCATTTTATAATCGTGTTTTGTCTTATCGTAACGAATCGACTCTCACGACGCTAGATCGGTAAACAAAATCAAGAGAGTCATAAACAAGGATATTCTGTTTCGTAGTTCAAATGAAACGGCGCGTTTTAATTAATTAAAATGTATTTGGGTATAATTATGCGATAGGAAGGTTCTATAATGTTTTTTGTTAATCACGAAAGCCGGATCGTTGACGTCAAATCGGACACCCGTAGCCAAGCGACACTACGCCTTAAAAGTTTGAGGTAATAAATACGCCACATTTCGGCACGCAGGTGCCTGTCGTTGAAGTGAGCCAATGCGGTCTCTTACGTTAGGATAAGAGACCTTTCCTGATTTATCTCGGTGGTTTTTTAATAAACACTAAAGCCCGAACTTTAATGTCAAATCGGGCACTCGTACCAAAGCGGCACTGCGCCTTAAAAGTTTGAGGTTATAAATACGCCACATTTCGGCACGCAGGTGCCTGTCGTTGAAGTGAACCAATGCTGTCTCTTACGTTAGGATAAGGGACCTTTCCTGATTGTGTCTCGGTGGCCGGCGCAGGTACCTGAACGGGAACCTGCTGCGCACGCTGCCGCCGCAGGCGTTCCCTCCGCTGCCGCGCCTGCGCACGCTGTCCCTGGCGCGCAACCGCCTGCGCAGCGTCGCCCCGGCCGCCTTCGACGCGCTGCCCGCGCTGCGCCACCTGTGAGCCTCTAACTCATTCATTTATTCGTTTATTCATTCATTCGTGATTCTGGGAAACCTCCAACTCATGACCTGTGAGCCTCTAACTCATTCTTTCATTCATTCATTCATTAGTGATTCCGGGAGCGTCAACTCCTAAGGTCGTTAGTCCCGTTAGTGTAGTGCACGTTTTTAGAACGGGAGGTGGCGGTGATCTTGCCGCGCTGGATGGCGAGATCCGGCCTCGACCTGCCGTCGGCTTGCGGGGTTTCCCCAATCAGGTATCTCCCACCAGCGGAGCCCCAGACGGGACAAGCTCTAAGCTCCTTCCACCGGTGGACGAGTTCATGCGCCTCGAGCTGGAGGTGCTCAACGAGGCGCTCGCCAGGGACAGGTGACGCCATTGACTGGCTGGTAGTGATGCCGGGCGCGTCAACGGCCGAAGGTCGTTGGTCCTGTAAGTGTAGTGCATGCGTTTTCGTCGGGAGGTGGCGATGATCTGCATGGAGAGATCCGGCCTCGACCTGCCGTCGGCTTGCGGGGTTTCCCCAACCAGGTATCTACTACCAGTGGGAACAAGCTCTAGGCAACCGACGTGTGTGGCAGTGGAGTGCATGTGAGTGCAAGCGTATCAAAGTATGGGGTTGAGGTTAGGATAAGGAAGGGAAAGGAAAGGTAGTGTACGATATGTAACCCGGTTGTTATGGTACTGCCCCAATATTCGCCTTCTGTTGAACGGAGAGGCCAAGGAAAATTACCGAAAAGAGCAGCCGGCCGCTAGAATTCTCCTCCAGATGACAGAAGTCGACCTAGCTACCTAGAAGCAGCTATCGTCGAAAATCCTACCCCCTTGGGGACTCGAATCCTAAGACCTCAGAGGTAAGGACTGTCAGAGGCTTGCAGTGACAATTGCTGCCCTGAACCATCTAAGCCGGTCTCTTAACTAATTAATTCAAATGCATTTTAAATACATATTCATTCTTCATGAATTCCTGCAGCTACTTTCATAATTATATCTTCTCCTCTTATGTAAACTGCTTTCCATACAATCTACTTGGTTTTTACTACGTTAAATTATTAATATTTATATTAATGCATAATAAGCTAATACATCGCTACACATTACATTTTAAAATTCATCAAAACGTGATTTCAAGTTGCATGTTGATTTGAATGTCCGATTTTAAGGCAGACGAATATTTTTGTTGTTGTTATTTAAGGTCACATCAACATCTAGGTTATTAGCAACCACTATTGCTTGTAACGATATGGTAATTTGGATGATGACATGATCTGATGGTGGTAGGAGGTGAAAGGACGAATACTGCCATCCTTTGGTCCGAGATCGCTACGGCACTCCTGTCTAAACGATTTCGGCCACCTGAGCATTTTGTGACTGTTAAATATGTTGCGGCAGATGAACATTTTGTGACTGTTTTAATTAAAGTTTATAATGGAATACTACTGCTCAAAAATGCATTTAGAACTAAATAATAGAGAAACAAAAAGTGATAATGTAGTATTGCTGATGATGAGGGCAACGACTATTCTTCCGTAACTACCCCTGCCGGAGCCATTTTGCGAACTTCCCCCTTAGTGACGCCGCTGTCCCTGGTCCCTTCGACACGCGTGCTGCCGACGGCGCTCACGCCTGCTTTCCTCCGATGGCCTTCTTCAGGGCTCAGTGTGCCGACCGCCCTAAGATGTAACGTCACACGAGCGCAGAGTTTCCTTTCTAAATGAAACCTAGTTTCAAATGCAAATGCTCAAAGTAGATTAATTGGTCAGTTCGTAGGCCTTACTGAAGAAATGCCCTTTATTTTAATCGAACTTCGCGGCAAATTACAGTATACTGATTATCAAAGTGCAGCGTTATCTGCGAGTTTTTAGTTTGCAAGTTGCAAGAGAGAACGGGTTAGTTTCCTCTTTCTGTTATCTGACAAAACTTTAAAACCAACTCATCATTAAGCTAATTTTTTATCTCTCTCTCTATCTATCTATCTATCTATCTATATATATATATATATATATATATATATATATATATATATATATATATATACCTATTTATTTGTCGAAGTTTATATATTTATTCCGTGCCTCTATTTATCTCTGGATTATTTTCGTAATTTAATTAGTTACCCACGGAAATGACTCGTGTATAATTCGCTATTTCGTTTACCACTAATTATCCTATATTTATCTGTATTAATTACACTACCTTTCCCTTGCAATTTCATTACTACTTTATCAAATACTTCTCTTATGTGCCCATGGTTGATGATATTATGTTTATATTGTATACTAATTTGTTTACTTTCGTATACCCCTTGTGATAAATTATCACAATATTTGCGTGTGTATACGTAGATATGTATTTGTGTATACACACAGACTTCATAGTATGCTCTACCTCTTTATAGCAAACATAATCTTCTCGCCTCGTTTACAACTGACTCGAATTCACAGAGACATTCAAATACAGAGACATGCAAATGTCTATCTATCACTATCGAATTACTACTTTTAAATAATTTTTTGTTTCTATTTGTAGTTATTTAAATGCTATTTCTGTTCCGTTACTGCAACGAAAAACTACTCATAAATGTCTCGGTTACCAGGGTTGGGCATTATTTAAATCCTTGGATTTGAAATACCTTTTTTTAAATACATTTTGTTTTTAAAAAAATGTATTTTTTAGGTTTCTGGACATGTATTTTAGAGATGCATTTAATAACACAAAAAAGTGTATTTAAAAAAATACTTTAAATACAGATGAAGATAACGAGGATAGTTCCGTTTTGTTTGATCCTGCTAGTGAATGGACCTCATTGAAACAAAAATAAATGCTCCTTCAAGCTGATGAACGTTAATTCTCTTCATTTTTAAATTATAAATTTAAACTATTCAAAATGCTGGACAATTATCAGACAATAAAAAAGTGTTTATTTCTAATATTAGTTTACGTTCATAAGCACCAGTTCAACAACTGTTTTGCTTTGCAGGTTTTATACATTCCCCAACTAGGGGTTTATTGTTTGATGATTTGTTTGAAAAACTAGTAGTTTTAAAAGGAAATTGGGTTTATTTGAATTCGACATATTTTTGATAACATTTTATATTTAGTATGAAAGTGTTTTTTTTATTTTGTATGTAGAAGGGATAGTCTCTTTGCGAAACTATTTGTTGCAGTGTTTTTTATTTGCAAGTTATTATTTTTCAGAAATTTATGACTGTCAATTAGTAATTTATTGTAATTGACAATTACAGTATAGTGTTACAATATATTGTTTTCTCTGTATTTTGAGTATTTGAAGAACTTTAAATAAGTATGTATTTAGCCATTCAAAACCTAATGTTTTTTGAGTATATATTTAAATACTTATTTAGAAAGCATTACGGCGAAGTATTCAAATACTAAATTTAAAGTATTTTGCCCAACCATGTCGGCTACCTGCAGCTGCAAAAATCTGAAGAGCACAGATTCGTGATACATAGTTAATTTCTCAACTGAGTGACGTTAGGGAAGTAGAAAAAATGAACATCACTACGAAATAAAATACACATATTACGCTATATTTTCTACCCTCTACATGTTATTTCCGAATTTATCTATTATTTACGTGGAGTTAAATTTACCTGTAATAATCAATATTATATTGATTGTGAAAGACTGGCCAAAATATTCTCAATATTTATCAACAAGTGAATACTATTTTAAAATGTATTAACAGATTTAGAGGGTGCCTAATAAGAGTTGGATATTACAATAGTACTTCATAAAGTGACGGATCCAATATGCAAAAATTTAAGGAAAATAGAAAAATCATTAGTACATTTAAATACGAAATTCCGTAATTATTTAAAAGTATGTATTTTAATGGTCGATGAGTTCTGAGTGCTTATGTGCATGTTCGTTTGAAAGCGATGTATTCAGACTCCTACGTGCAGCTTATTTAACATTCTAATATAGTTCTCGACGTAAGAAACCATAGATAAAAACACTATAAATCAGGAGTATCTTGAGCTTGTCTCCTGCAGGAACATTGTTAAAATTAAATTACATTTCAAATTTTGAATTATTGAACTCTCAATCAATGAATATTACACTATTTGAACCAAGTTACCCGTATTACAATATGGTATTTATACCACACAATGTCAATATGAACTCGTATGTAGTGGACTTAGAACTTAATTGTAGAGTGAGAGTTGCACTTCTCTCCTTAGTACGTCACATTTATTTTTTTATTTTTTGACATTTAATAAATAAGTAAATAGGAAAACGGTAAATATATAAATGAAAAGGTAAATAAATAGATATTTAAAAGGGTACATAAAAAAGTATATAAAATGGTAAATAAAATGGTAAATAAAAAAGTAAATATAAACGTAAATAAAAAGGTAAATAAATAGGTATTTAAAAGTTAAATAAAAAAGTAAATAAAATGGTAAATAAATAGGTAAATAAAATAAAGTTGAAAGGCTTGGGGAGAGGAGATCGAGACAAATCCTTGGAGTCTAGCAGTGGGGTTGGAGACAGATCATCGCGCTGGGGTTGTGATATTGAAGTGATCGAAGAAAGATACGCACTACGCATAACGCATACGCAACTAACACGATTAATAGCAGAGGGGCTCCAACGGCTTCTTCGAACTGAAGCTTTTATCGATCAGATCCACGTGCAGCCGCAAATGCAACAGAATTTGAATTGCGGATTTGCTGCTCTAAGCAGCTTACGAGAGAAATCTCCCAAAATACGCTGACAAAATTCAGCAATGTTTTAATGCGAGTAATGAAATTTAATGTTTAACGTTTATTTGAAATGCTTGACTCTAAATAGTGCTACATGGAATTCGTTATGAATAATAAGAAGGTAAAAGTTTCAGTCAGGCTTTCCTCGTCATGAAATAAAGTAGAAATGTCTTCGTAGCACAGGGTCATTTATTACAACAAAACCACATTACTCGCACAGAATGAAATACTCGATATGGCGAGTAGTTTTGTTTTTTTTTTGAGGGGGGGAATTTTCTTAATTTGTACGGAAATGGAGGTGTAGACCTTTGTAGAGCCGTCCTAATCTTTAGTTCAAAGTTAATTTCATTAATGGAAAATACAATAGTATGTTATTAAATATTTCTTTACCACAAAAGATAATTTACGCTCATCAAATTTGAAGCTTTTCTAAAGCATTTGCAGTCCTGCATGTACTCGTTACTCGTACAGCTCTTCACTTGGATATTTCCGAATCCGGATATGATATTACGAATGTCTGGGGAAAGAAGGAAGGGATAGAAATGTAATTTATCAATGAGCTAAATATTTACCAATGGGTAATATTCATGATATTTGTCAACCCTGAAAATCCCTGGATATGTATTTAATACCTCAAATACTCGTAATAACCTAAATTAATGTGCGAGAGGTGGAAATAAGCCATTTACCCTATGGTATGGTAATTGGTGATATAAGCTGATCAACGAATCGTAGTTCCGTCTGAAAGTTCATTGCGGATAACTCGTCGCAAACTTGGTAGCTAATGAAATTCTTCTTTAAAGCGAATAGTATAGATCAATGCAACGTAAAACAGAGCGCAGGTGCAAAAGTAGAAGAATAAATCCTCAAAATTAAATGAATTACAGCCTGTATTCATAATTGTAACAGAACAAAATTTTAAATCAGAACCATGTCATAAGATTCACGTATTAAAACCTCTCTTGTTCCTTTATGAATGCAGGTATCTCTACAACAATCAGCTAACGCAGCTCTGGAATGGAACTTTCCAGAACCTCACGCAGCTGCGCAGCCTGTGAGTATATAATAAAAATTAAAATTTTAAACAAAATATTTATTTTCTATTAGTATGTTATTGCTTGTTATTGCCTTCGATACGAACCTCAATATACACTGAATATCGTACCGGGATCAAGAAGGTTATGGTTACGAGGGAAATACGAAAACAGATGAACAATGCTACATGTTCCCTTATGGAGAGAACTAAGAGAGGGAATTATGGGTGAGAAATATGAAAGGACAAACGGAGTCAAGTTAATATCTAGTTAATTAGTAAATTTGAATAATTAAAATTAGGTAAAATATTAAATAATGTATGCACCACGGGCGTTAATTGGTTCTAATGATCTCGGGCCAAAGGTCCTTGGACTTAGTGTCGCCATTCGACCATTAGAACCCTTATAACGCCCTCGGTGCATAAAGAACTATTCAGTCGCAAAGGTATATTGTAGCGCAATGCATTGCAAAGAGTAATGAAGTGGGAGAGGCTGGTGACAACCTTGACATTGTTCCAGGAAGCTGAACGCCAACCGGTTGGTCTCCATCGAAGCAGGATCGTTCGTGGGGCTGAGCCAGCTGGTCTCGCTGTACGTAATCCACCCAGGAACCGAACGCACAAACAGGATCAGCGCTATTCACCTAGTTCCAGACGGTGAAACGAAATTACGCTACTCCCCTAGAACCAAACGCACCTAGCATCGTGCCCCCTCACTCCGCTAGGGACTATTTTGAGAATTTAGCAAATCGCCGTTTTGTGAAAATCAGATTAGTGAAAATTTTTCGAAATTTGCTTTATTGCTATTTATTATTATATTAATGAGGGGGAAATTTTGAAATCTATATTCGTCGTTTTAGACTTCTAGAGGAGAGAAACGGAACCAAACAAGTTGGTGTATTGCCACTGTAAGAGAGAAAACTTTATTATTATTTTAATTTCATTTATATTTTATGAAACACCATATTTTGTGTGAAAACTGACTAAAGACTATAAACAAAACTTATAAAAGCGTACTCCTTGAAAAATAACAAAAATAATCATTTTTAAGCCTCCTGTAAAATTCAATTTTTTAAACTTGTAAGTTTGACAATAGCACAATGATATAAAGTATGCTCTGACATTCATACAGCAAGTAGCGAACTATTGCCTTAATTTTTAATATATATAGGATGACATTTTTTTAAACCATTTTGTTGGTTCACACGTGTAAAAATGTATTCTTAGAACTTCCGTCATTCTGGCTTAAATGTGGTTCTAGGAAATCAGATTTGAACACGTCTGCATTACTAATTAGATAAAATCTTTAGGATAGATGTGCCGGATATAATAGAGCTGAAAAGAACAATTATGTTTTACAATTATTATTATTACAATTATTTTCACTTTACATTATTTTGTTTGTTATATCTATTATTTAGTATGGTTCTGAAATTCTTTCGCGTTTATTTGGATTTTTGTTTTCGTAATTTTAAACGCCCTTCTACTTGTTCTGGCAATTTTTCCTACCATATAATTAAACGTTAATGTAAAAGAGATGCTTTTTTTGTACAAACTGACGATAAATAAAGGTTTGTTTCTCAAGGTTTTACAGAGGAAATGAAGGGAGATCTCAATCTCGAAACCAGTCATCACGTCACATGAGTGCTTCGAATCGCAGTGATTTCCCCAGGTGCCGCGAGGTGCGGCGTCGCGTGAAGGACGCTGCGCATGGGGAGGGGGGTGGGCGATATGCGGAACACCTGAACCATCAATTTCGCGCCGGAAGCGGAAGCAGCGCCGCCGTGGGCCGCCTCACCGCGCCGCCCCAACTGGGGGGGGGGGGGGGGAGAGGCGGGGGGGGCGTGAGCGACGGACAGCCCGTGCCCCCGGGTGCGTCGTCTCAAATATCTGCTTCAGGAGCCTGCAACGACAACGACAACGACAACTGCAACGATGCATACACGGCTGACAGTTGCGCCCGGGGCGAGGTGCGGGGTAGCTGTCACTTTTTGCGCCGCCCACCGCTGCCACTGGGGTTAAAATGTCGATCGGGCCTTGGGGAATATGAGGTGGACAAGAAGGTTCGCGGCTATTTTACTCGGGATCTCCTGTTTCCACTTTCTCTTATTCCCAATCTCAAACATTCGTGTTATAACGTCGTAATAATTTACTCATCAAATTATTTCGCTCAATTCCAGGTGGAATCACAGAACTTACGCACTTGCACCCAGTGTTGCACTTGCACTTGCACCCAGTCCACCCTCTATGTTTTTAACAACTGGTTCTCTCCTATGATTTCCAATAATTTCTTATTTTTTATTTCAATAGATTAATGATTCATTAATGAGGTAACGTACCTCTACAGTTTTAATACAACATTCTTTTACAGATTTATGGATACAGCAATTTAAGGAATTTACAATTCTGCATGAAAGTTACAAAATTGATCATGAAGTTAGTTGTCTCTGAGAATCTTCTGTAGCTTCTTCTTCTTGACACGTGTGTCATCAGCCGAATGGTACCAAGGCGCAGCTAGGATTTTACAAAATTAGTCACTTCCCAATCAGCAAAAGAATCAAATGAAGATATATCGTCTCAATCAGAAATACATTACTCAGAGTTGCAATAATTTTAACAACTTCATTGTGAAAAATTTCAACTGGTTCTGTGCACTACAATAATTTTAAAACCCTGTTCAGGCGAAGTGACTGAATGCCAGAACTGCTTATACTGCAGTAAAAAAATTGCCCAAAATTTTGACTGTTGGGGCGAAAAACGGTCTTGGTTGTTCACGGTTGGTTGCATTTTATTAACAAGCGCATGTGATTACTAAATGCAACTTGATTTCAGCCACTGGGAGCAATCGCGAAATAAATAGAAATACTGACAAAGGCTGCCTACTAATGTACTGGTATCTATTTTTTTATATCCATTAATGACAGGACGCTTTTTGAAGCAATAACAATTGTTGGTTTCTGAGAAAATTCAGATTAGGAATGGTCGAAGGTTTTCTATTGTATTTTTACATATTTCGGCTCGCTAGTCGAAGTTATTAAATTTTTTAATCGGAGAGTTTTAGTGAACTTTGTACAAATAATTACCCTTTGTTTTCAGGGATCTTCAACACAACAAACTTACACAATTGGATCAACATCTGTTGCAGCATCTTACTCGTTTGCATTATGTGTAAGTAGCTGATGTTCACAAATTAGGATTTTTAAACTTATGAATATTATTACTAAAATTCCTAGAACTTGCTTCCCGTATCAATTTGGCGCACCAATAAGAATTTTACGTTTTGAAAATGAATATTGTTGGTTGGAAAAACACGATTAATTTCAAGTAGCAAAATAAAACTCACTTAAATATTTGGGTCTATTTGACAGTGGCATTAATATAATATAAGATGTCAAGGGTCACTGGAACATGAGCATAGCAGATACCTTCTCATAAGTTAACTGTATTATCAAATTAATAAGAATTTTCATAGAAATGTACTAATAGTACTTAAACAATTTCTTCATTAAACGTGATTCATTAAACTGTACATGAGAGAAAAGTAAAGAAAATAATAGCAGTTTGACTAATCAACACTTGTCACGCTTTCTTCATTTTACCGATATCTAGTAAAAATCTTTATAAAAAATTGTATCTGTCTTCATAAAAAATGCAACAGACCATGGCATCTGTGCAAGGCGATGATTGAGAAATTTTGAGTGTATTATTTGGATAATAATTGTTATCATTTGTTATAATTTTTAATGTTCATGAAGAATAAACGATTGTTTTCTAAATTCATTAGTTAAAGAAGTACATCTGGGTTAATGACCGAATTCTGTCATGTTCCGATCCTACTTGCTTCTGATTGATCGGTTCACTTGTACAACATGTATTTCCCTTTGCATTTTCCAGACCTTTGAGTTTTATTGGCTTAGAATAATATCGCATTTATTGACTTAATCAATACTGCATACAAGACTCTCGTATATTTCCATAAATGTAAAAAATGAAATGATATTTACTTGCAGTTTGAACCCAAATGAAGAAAGTGTTATGTCTATCCAGCGTCGTCAGTGGAGAGTATCATTGTCCTATCAATTCTAATATTTTTGGAAAGAACTCAGACCTCCAGATATTCTCAGTCGTACCACCGCATTGCAATATTAGAGCAACCAACGCATTCCAACAAAGCACTGTCCAAGAAATAAAGTATCCCTCTTTATACGGAAGTCTGGAATTCCCAGTGGCTGTAACCGTCAAAGGCATTACTAGTCAAATATTGAGAATGTATGTTTTAATAAAATATATTTAAATAGTCTTGCACAAGTGGAAATGCTATCATTTACTTCAAAGCTTCATTATCACTATCATTCACTATAATTTGAAATAATTATAAACGTTGTCATTGCCAACAATAGTACTATTGTTGGCAATGACGTTTATAATTATTTCATGAAAAATGCCAACTATAACGCACCACAACACCTATACACTATCATTTACTTCAATTCTTTGTAATGTCAAAATAGAATTGTTTCGTACAAGAATTTCTAAAATTTAAATAATATTTTCTCAAAACTAATTAATAAGTACTGTTTTCGTTTAACATTTAAAAAAATTCTAGTCTTGAATTAAGATACTCCAAGATATACAATTTCATTCCAAACCATGTCAGAAGCATTTCATAAACTAAATACTACTTTTCATGGACCCTCAATTGTTTCATTTTTTATTACGTACTACTATAGATGTGCTCATTTAACACCTCCCCATGAATATTTAGGTAGGTACTAAAGGTTGAATTGAAAATAATTCTTTCGGGCGAGTAAGTGCGAGTAAATGCTTCTCGTTTCATAGATACCCGATTTCTCCGACAGTCAGCGCCACTGGTTCCGGCTTTGACCGCACAATGCGCGTCACGCATCGCGTCGCGTCGCACGCCGACGCCCATCCATTGCACCGAAATAGCGCTGGTCCGAATTCGCCTTCTGGCGCTGCCCGTCACTTCAAAGGCTCAGAAATTATTTCGGGTGATGGTTTCCTCACGCTTACTGTCAGGTCTCTCTGAAATCACTTTCGGGTGCTCTTTCTGGTTGATCTGGGATCGAAGTCCTCATGGGAAGCTAATAAAAAAATGTCGATGTCTAGAATTGTCCTGATACTTTCGCCACGGGATGTCTTCTGAGTGCCCAAGGACTCCGCATTTCCTTTCCTAAAATCTTTCGAACCTTTGGGAAGAGGCAGATCAGAGGGGTTACGATAGCCGTCGACACAAGTTTCATGCCATTGAAAATTGTCTTTATGGAATCCAAATATTAAATTAAATTTTAAGTTAACAAAAAACTAAACATTTGAAGTTTGATGTAAAATACTCATTCTCATCTTACTAGATTTTAACTAATTCTTTCGGTAGGTCTCTCTCTTTTAGTAGGCCAGCGCCAAACACATTTTGTTCAGTACTTTTCAATGGAATCCGTCTAAATTCTTTAAGGATTTTTTTTTCGTAAACATGTAGAACACGAATAAAATAATTGATCGCCAAAATTTGACTTTCCTGTCAATAATTTAAAAGTAAAGATACTGTTGAATATCCAAACTTGCCATTTCGCTATTATGTTATTTTCCCTTGCAAATTTGTGCGAAAAGGTAGTGTCAAGAGTGAACCAAAGTTTACGTGGCTGACTCCATCGCGTAAGGATAGTTACTTTTAGAGTAGTCAAACTTTTTTTATTTTTTGAACTGGTAATAATTCAAATACCGATTCGGTTTACATATTTCCCTTCTGTTGAAAAGTTATGCTAGTTAAAGTTACTTCTAACTTTAGTGCAAAAGAAATGAAATTAAAGATTATTGAGCAACGAACAAAAAAAGTACTTTAAACATTTCAAAACTTATCCAATCGATTTTGAAGAGTATGTAGAGACAACGTCTAAATAAAAAGTATTTTAACAATGCAGCAGTACATATTAAAACGGAAATGATTTCAACAAAAAAATAATTATTATGTGTAATGATAATTGTACATGTGAAAGGCTTAGAGAAGTAACAAGATAATCCACACCAAGCAAAGTCTCCTCGTCGTGGTAAATGTTAATATGTCGAGTTTGGTTAAAGTCAGGGTTACTTGTTACCTGGGCTGTTTTCTGACGGAACGCATCAGAACGCCGTTTCGGTAAATGAAGAATAATTATTAAATTATATAATAAATATATAACTATTTCATTGAAACAGTTTCCCATTCTCTAATATTAATAAAACAGACAATGAATATATTTATATACCTAACTGAGCCCCCACACTGGGCAGCCAACTGAAACGGTTTTGTCGTTGTTGTATTTTTTTTGTTCCGAACTCATAGGGATTTTTATTTACCATTCAATTACTTTATTTTGGGATGTGAGTACGCGAAGCCCTTCCTATACAGGAAACGCGGTGCTTATATCGATTGTTTTGGAACTGGACTCGTAATTTATCTTTCTCTAACTCACAATCAAATAAAATATCAATTTTTTCGAAATTAGTTGTTGCTGCCGCAAGTGTGCAACCTCATTTATTTGTAATAAAAAACAACTGCTTAGCCTTGTTGCCGCCTCTCCTGGCTAATTCCAAACATAAACATCACAAAACAAATATTTTATCCTTAGAAACAAAACTCTTTCATGCAAGCGCGCATCTTTTTCCCTTATTAATGACCATTTTTATTTGAAACTAAATAGTTTCCCCACTACAATACATTTCTTCGCCTTCTCATAATCTCAAGTTCATTAAAAAGTTTGAAATCATTACTTCCGTTGTCTTTGATCGCTGTGGCTGCATTAAACACATCCGCCCAAACGTAACCGACTTTCAGAATTATCATTTTCATTTTACATACATTTTACGTTCGTACAGTGACTTCAATATGCCTTCATTTTAACACCACACTTAATAAGTCAACTTCTATCATGCGTCATGTATCAAGTTTACGAGCCCTCTGCTCTCACGTTTTCCCTGTCTCCGTAAGTTCCATAAAACAATTGCCGTCTATTTTCGTTTGTCACTTACTTGCTATTCATATAATTACGTTTTCCATTTAAATGTACTTCGCTCCGGGCCACATTCTCTTTTGTAAATTAATTACGTATTTAATGTGGTTATGTAGTAACGTTTTAATGTCTTTTCAGGGTCTGTTTATTTAGTTCGATTTACATACATAGGTTCTCGGTAGGTAGTGTTCTCTTGTCTAGCGACAAAAAATAATTTATTTTAAATATCTCGGAACACCTAGTATATATTTATTTATTGCCAGCATAAATCTATCATCATCATTTATTTACTCCTGTTTGTATTTTAACTGTTCGACAGCTTCGGCGTAATATAAATGCCACTATGCTCCCGAAACCGTCATTTGTTTTTGCAAATATATCGCGTCCCTATTAAAACATATTGAAATATCGTCTTTGACGAGTCCGTCACACTAGTAAATTAATAAATAAATTTGGGCGCGATCCGTGACCTAAAACTTTATAAATCAGCACTATTAGTTACTCTACCTGATGTCTCAGAATAAATGTTACACTCTTGCAGAGGTGTCCAGAAAGGATCACTTTTTGCCAATGAACTTGTAGTTGAAAATTAGTATACCCGAGCTACATGTACATGACTTTTGCCCCTGATTTTTATCTTGAATCCACTGATGATCCGCAGGCGTAGGCAAGGAGATTTCATGAATATGTCGACCATCTGTGCGTATGGGGTAACCAAAAAATCAGGAGCAAATCCCACAAGAACAAATGCATGTACGTTCGTTACAAGCAATGTTCGTTTCGAGCTCCTCAGACCTCTAGCAACGGCTTTACACGAGTTTCGTCATCTGCATACCACAAGTTCTCTACGAACGATCCGTTCAATTGATACCAGGACTTTGCGATCCATGATTTAATCAAATGGTTTCTGCTGTGTTTGGGAGAAACTTATAGACTGATTGATTTTGTTGAAGCCCTCTCAAATTTGGCGAGAAATTGTAATCGGTTCCCACAATTTAACTTGCTACTTAGTTCAGCACTTTAACGACGTAATGCAAAAAAATACAAACTTATGATCAATTATCATTAATGTAGCACAATTATATGCAACACTTTATTTCAATCACTGTTTCACTCACACATACTCAGACACACACACACACACAGATTATATATATATATATATATATATATATATATATATATATATAGAGAGAGAGAGAGAGAGAGAGAGAGAGAGAGAGATGAAATGTTTAAAAATTTATTGATAAAATTTTTACTAATGTACATACATAATCGATTTCTTACAATCTTCTCCACCAAACAAAGTTACTAATATTACACGAAGAATACATCTTTAGACTCCGAATCATGATAATCACTGACGGATTGCTGGTTGCCCAAAGACCAATTGGTGGTGGTTGCCTGTTGCAGGTACCTGGACGACTTCGGCCTGTGCGCGGCAGCGCGACACGTGCGGGTGTGCGAGCCACACGGCGACGGCATCTCCTCCCGCGACCACCTCCTGGGAAGCCCCCTCCTGCGGGCCAGGTACGCTCCTCCACCAACACGTACCCCCTACAAACGATTCCATGTAACGGCGTCTTCCCGCGACCAGCTCCTGGAGCCCCTCTGCGGGCCAGGTACGCTCCTCACGCACACCGACACCCTACCAACGACTCACTGTACGGCATCTTCCTCGCGCCAGCTCCTGGAAGCCCCCTCCTGCGGGCGCAGGTACGGTCCTCCACCACGCACGCCTGACCAACGATCCCTGTAACGGCATCTCCTCCCGCACCACCTCCTGGAAGCCCCTCCTGCGGGCAGGTAGCTCCTCCCACCACAACGACACGCCTACAACAACGACTCCACTGCTAAACGGGCATCTCCTCCGCGACGCACCTCCTTAGAAGCCCTCTTCGTGGGAAGCTCGTAAGTAGAGGGAGACGACGAGGGAGACGAAGAGGGAGACGAAGAGGGAGACGAAGAGGGAGACGAAGAGGGAGACGAAGAGGGAGACGCAGATTTCTATTTCATTATTTTACTACAAATTGTTCGATTATAAATAAAAGTACCAACGATCGTGGTTGACATTTGAAAACTGAACTTTTTCGCTCCCGAGTAATAGAAATCTGATAGTGCTTCGAGTCATTGACCAGAAGCAGAAATACAATACTTGTTAGAGACATATTTAGCATTTCAAAATTACAAACACAATTGTGCGTATTGGATGTATATTATTATTATTATTATTATTATTATTATTATTATTATTATTATTATTATTATTATTATTGTTATTGTTGTTGTTGTTATTATTATTATTGTTATTATTATCATTATTATTATTATTATTTGTTTTTAATGATCAGTTTAATTGCCTTATTCCTATACTTGTGCACCTCTACACGAGAGCTCGAGTTGTTTCGTTCAAATACTGTTGTTTTTGTTTTTTCATGAAAAAGGCCCATTTTTTAAAACACATTCGCGTCGAAACACATTTATTAGCGCTCAATTGAAAACCGGCGGAAGGACTTCATAAACGGACGTCGGCAGTGTTCAGTTGTCAAGCTTATGTCAAAAAAATATTTAAAAAAAACTCGCGAATCTGGCATGCCACATCCAATGCCGCCGCTGCACAGTAATTTCATGCCTCAAAGCATTAAATGAGGCTTGGTTACATGAGGAAGTTAACACCCATGAATATGCAGGTTCCCGAATTTATATCTACAAAAAATGCTCCATTTATTAACTCTTTATAATGCAGTTTTGCATGTTTGAATATTCACCGGGTGACTCATGTAAGCTAAAACGGAATTTGCTCAATTTTGATATCTTTGGTAGAGGAAGTGCATTATAAAAATTAGTGGAGCTACAACATCACATACTTTTTCACATTAATTGCCAACTTGTTCAATTTTCTTATTTCAAGGAAAATTAGACTTGCCCCATTTTTAAGCATTCTTTGATTTATCGGAGGAAAAAATGAAAGTAGCAACGTTACAATAGCACGTACGTTCTCTCAATATTAACGGTTACGTAATATTATAATGTGAAATAGTCAATGCGACATTAAATATAAATATATAATAAAGAACAAAATCTACTAATAATTTGTATATTATTCAAGAATGATTCGCTCTTTTTTTTGGTATTATTACTTACCTGCTTGGGCACATTATGGGAAATAATATTGTCCTGTAGTGAAATGTTATCTTTATTCTGTTTCTATATTGCTTATGGGTTTCGACATACAACATGTTACCATCATACTTGTCGTATGTGGAAGTACCAGTCTACGTAGAATTGCGATTCCTGGAAGTTCTGCTAATTGATACTGTTTATTTTGAATTGATGGCAACTAGCTACAAATTATCAGCCCTTTTCCATAATAAATAACTTAACATTTATTACAAATTTCTTACACTTTATAAATGAGCTCTTAAACGATATGATCTTATGTTTCTTGTATAAAATAATTGTAATTTTGTACGGTCAAGAATTAAAATTCATAACTTAGCTTTCTATTATCTTTGTTCGCATCGTTGGTTTCTCGGGTGAACTCCAAATCTTCTGTCTTGATGCTGTCTATTTGATATTTGTGATGTCCCTCCTACCGTATTCTCTCCTAATGTGAAAATCGGTTACCAAAATGACCCCGAATTATTATAAGTTATTTGATGTTTTCATAGAAAATCTGCAAATAAATTATTCCGCGATCGCGACTCTCCCTGTGCTGTACGCCAGGTGGATACCAACTCGCGAGTATGTTCAACACGAATTGTTGAACACCATCAACGTTTAGGAAACTATCCTATCATAAATTCCGTTTCGAATACGAAGCCTATTTTGATTTAATTTAAAATTTACAACATAAATTAGCATGACATCTTTAAATAATTAATATATACAACTCTTAAGTATATCTAAACTAATTACGTGTCATCCACTTCCCTATAATTGAAAACTCTAAATCCAATCTTAACTGAAGATACTCGTTGTGTTTGCTCAAATGCGTCCGCTCTGGCCAGTGTCGCGAGAGAGAGAGAGTGAATATTATAACATTTCTACAAGACCAAAGCTTTCACTGCCTCCTCCATACATTTTTTACACACCACCACGGGGCCCTGCTTCCCTGATCTCTGCCTCCCTTACATAAACTACTATTGTCGCACTGCCTTAGTGCACGAATTTATAAAAATTGCCGTATGGTATTCTCAAACAAGACTTCAATGATTTCACTTTTTCGCATGTTACTTACTTTGTGTAGAGAAAGTATTGTAATGTTCCACCAAAAAAATGTGATTTCTCGATTAAAAAACTCGTATTATGGGGCCTTGGTAACTAAAAAGTGATTAACCTTACTTCAAAATGTACGAAATTATTTCTTCTAACACACCGTGTTGTCAGAATCAACGTTTTGTGGTTCCTCGATATTGAAATAGGATCGATATAGGAAAAATTGATTTACAGCACAATGTCTGACCGTCTTTCCAGGCGTACATGCGAGAATCACCTGTTTCGAGCCCATGTTTCGTATACTATTTTTAACACGCCGTGAGCGGAACGCAATGCGTCAAAGCAAAGAATATAAATTAAATATCAAATAACTAGAAATACTATACTTGTACAAAAAAAGTAAATTCTAGTTACATTATTGTTTGTAAATAAACAAAGACGTCATCAAGACGAAAGACAATTGCGAATCGTTACAGATGTTTCGAACACGCTTCGCAATGTTTCGCACATGCTTTCCGATGTTTGGCACACTGAAAAAAATGAGCTGTTTTGCATAGTGAAAACAAGCACAAAAAACCGCGTTTCACGCATGGCGTGTTAAACAAATATTTATCGTTTTGATGATACTTGTTGGTGTCGAAAAAAATATCCGACGGAAGCTGGTTTCATTTTCCGAGAATTCTTTGTATTTATGAAAATTGCAAAATATGAAAATTGCGAAAGAGATCTTTCGTAATTGAAATCTGTTCTAAAAAAATTAATATTTAAAGAAAGTACTGAACAATGTTTTGAAAAACCAAACAAGTAGTTTTCGAATAATTTAAAAGTTTTAATCTATAAAAAAAATTGTTTTGTGAACAACAAAATAAGCATCCCATTGCACTCCGCTGGCTTTTGCCCATGGCGTTTGTAAATATTTACCGACAACTATTAAAGATATTTAAAAAGACGTTATTATTTACTTTACGGAATTCTAGTAGCACTTAACGCCGAACCTTCACTGTTGTGATAGTTGACAAATACAATATCCAAAATTACTAAAAGATAATTCTAATAATCAAAATTTTAACGTAAAACTCTTCTTTAGTTCATTAACTTTAAAACATAATTTAAGCTATCGTCTATAATTTGCGATATACATGAATAAAAAAACAAATGCCCAAAAATTACTGAGTCAGCTACACGTAATTTGAATTCGAAAATAAGCGGGCCCTGAGGCCTAGGAGTGCAATGCAGATGCGATGTTAGCGGTGTAAGATGCAACTATTACTATTCCCACATCCATCACGATCGTTGAGCATCGGTCTTTGCTATCACAGACACACCGGGCTCAACAAAACTTCGAAAGGCAGAAACCCTCACGGTCGTGAGAGTCAGGGCTTAAAAGAATACGATAAATCCATTGTTGTATTACATAAATATAAATAAAATACCACACCTATTATTATTCTGTCATTGATGCGGTTTTACATTCAATACAAAACCTTTTTTAGTAATTTTAAGAATCAAATTTGCGGTGCGCATTACATTCACGTAAATAAAACATTTTTGAGACTATACCACTGGTGAAATTAAAACCAATAGTGTTTCACTATACATGTAAAATACCCCAATCAGAGCGGTGTATCTCAAAAATGTATCCCTTTCCTATCTGATTGTTCTTACCACCCCTCCTTACTGGCCAATCTGCGACTCATCGAACTTAGGAGGCGATATGTATCGATTGCTGTGTTGATGTGCATTAGACCGCGTATGTACTATAACAAAACATCTTTGATAGTAACATGCTTTCAGATATTTTCAATATTTCAACTCGATTGGATGTAATTTATCTCGTAGTATCGCCCTCTTAAATATCACACGTACTTTGAAAATTGTCAGATAAATCCCCTCCTCGCTTCGCGAGTCGGCGATTTATCGACAATTTCCAAATCATTTGCGGTATTCCCCTCGCCAACACAACTACAAATTGCCGCTTTCTGTGAATGTGGCTGAGGCGGCGCGGCTGGCGCGCGTGCGCGTGCGCAGCGTGTGGGCGATGGCGCCGGTGGCGTGCGCGGGCAACCTGTTGGTGCTGGCCGGGCGCGGGCGGCTGTTGGCGCGGCGCGC